ATAATGCATGTGTATGGTTTTAACATGTATATCTATGGTTTTAGAAACATGTGTATGGTTTTAACATGTATATCTATGGTTTTAGAACACATGTGTATGGTTTTAACATGTATATCTATGGTTTTAGAACACATGTGTATGGTTTTAACATGTATATCTATGGTTTAATAATGGTAAACTATCAGCCAGGCTCCTCGGAGCAGTGACTACTAACAACCAGCAGGGGGCAGAGCGGTTCATCTGCTCTGCTTTAAGGTTTGTTTAATTTGACCTGAAAATGATTCCCGCCACACAGAATCTGATGAAAAGTTCTGTGTTGATACAATACTCACAGCCACACCTCACAGAGTCACTATTCGGTGTCGGTGTCGTAAGAAAACGGGTCAGTTTGTAGACACTTCTGATTTTCACAACTCTGTCTGATTATCACCTGTGAACGGCTGTCGTGTGTTGATGACGTCACTCTCGTCTCTGGGACTTTCCGGATGCGTCACACGGAGCTTCCGAGTTTTTAACATTAGCTCCGGCAGCTTTCATGTGTTTAGAGGCTGTTAACGCGGAGCAGCACACGATGAGCAGGGCAGAGAGCTGCCAGCGGCACTGACAGCCCTGACGTCGGTCCCCCGGTGGTCGGAAGCGACGGTTCCAGCGACAGGCGGGATGTCAACAACACGGCCTCTCCTCGGAATGCGACGAGTCCCCGAGCTGACGTGTCCGGAGCAGCCGACCAGCAGGCTCCCCGCGTCGGCCGGCAGACAGCCGCCGGAGGCCCTCACCGTGGACGAGTTTACGGTCCTGGAGGACAAACAAGAGGAGCTGAAATGTGCCAAGCCTCGAGTGGAGCAAGTTTTTAAAGTGACGTTCACCATCATCGGTCTGCTGGACCACACGGGTCAGCCCCACGGCAGCAGAACATCACGGCAGATATGGCTGCAGCTCAGGGGCAACAGAGACGATGTGTCCAAGGCGAAGGTGAGTCCCTGTCCTCTGTCCTGTCCTGTCCTCTGTCCTGTCCTCCGTCCTGTTCTCTGTCCTTTGTCCATTCACCAGGATGTTGCTGTTAAAGTCTGATAGAAGTATGAGTAACCACAGTAATGTTGACTGTACCACTTCCTGATAACTATATATGACACCAGGGTACTGTTCCAGACATTAACCTGGTTCACTATACTGTTAACTAGGTTCACTATACTGTTAACTAGGTTCACTATACTGTTAACTAGGTTTTACCATACAAACAATTCAACAGGTTCAATATACCAGACATTCACCTGGTTTATTTTATCAAACATTCAACAGGTTTATCATACTATTAACTTTACCATACCAACTGTTCACCTGGTTAACTATACCAACTGTTCACCTGGTCAACTATACCAACTATTCACCTGGTTAACTATACCAACTGTTCACCTGGTTAACTATACCAACTGTTCACCTGGTTAATTAACCATACCAACTGTTCACCTGGTTAACCATACCAACTGTTCACCTGGTTAACTATACCAACTGTTCACCTGGTTAATTAACCATACCAACTATTCACCTGGTTAATTAACCATACCAACTGTTCACCTGGTTAACTATACCAACTGTTCACCTGGTCAACTATACCAACTATTCACCTGGTTAACTATACCAACTGTTCACCTGGTTAATTAACCATACCAACTGTTCACCTGGTTAACTATACCAACTATTCACCTGGTTAACTATACCAACTATTCACCTGGTTAACTATACCAACTATTCACCTGGTTAACTATACCAACTATTCACCTGGTTAATTA